GAGGTGGCCTGGAGGAAGTGGAGATGCTTCAATGGGTAAAGTGCTTGCTTATACAAGCGTGATGATAACCAGAGTACAGAACCCCAGAGACGGAGGAGAAAGCACACGCACATGCACGCACGCACAAAGAATCCTCCTAGTTCCTCCACCATAGGCTTGGGTACCCAGATGCAGTTAAAACAATGCAGTCCACACCAGTAGCAAACAGAAAATAATAGCTAACATCTGAACACTTACCACGTGCCAAGCACTATGTTTAATATTTCATACATATTATCTTACTTAATCCTCATAATGATCTTATGAGAAGGCATGATTATTCTCTTCTTACATATGAGGAAACTGAAAATGAAGAAATTAATTACCAAAGTACTCTAGCAAAGCACGTAGTCAGACTCACAAAGTTATGCTGTCTTCTTTTAAAAAGCTTTTAAATTATTAATTAATTTACTTTGAGACAAGTTCTCAAGTATCCCAGGCTGGCCTTGAACTCCCTATGTACCAATGATGACCTTGTACTTCCGATCTTCCTGACTAAGCGCTGGCATTTTAGGCATGTGCCACTATACATAGTTTGCATAGGGCAGGTGATCCAATCCAGGGCCTTGTGCATGTCAGGCAAGCAATCCAGCAGCCCTAGAACCATGCTCTTTTAACCACAATGCTACTAATAGAAATCACAGGTCAACTACAAAGTGTGGTTACATTGCAATCACAAGAAAAATGCCTAAAAAAAAAAATCAGAATATAAACTCCTTATAATTCCTACAACACAAGTCAGTAGATATCTAAAACTGATGGTGCGGAGGACTGGAAACGCAGCTCTGTGGTAGAGCACTTGCTTAGCGTTCATGAGGCCCAGGTTTAATCCTCTGTACCTCAGTGTTTTCCAGGTGGGGCCTGGGGGTCGGTTGGACTTGGGGTGTAGCTCAACTAGAAGAAAGCTTGCCTGGCATGCCCAAAGTCCTGGGTTCAACCCCCAGCACCACATAAATCAGGTATGTTGTCAAATGATTGTAACCTTAGCATTCAGGAGGTGAAGGCAGGAAGGAAGAGCAGAACCCATCTCGGGGTTTGAGAACAGCATGAATACAAGAAACTCTGAGGGAAAGGAGTGAACTAAAAAATGGCTTAGCAAAAAGGTGTCTGATGCCAAACCCAAACCACGGGCAGGAGAGAATGGACTTCCCTGACATGTCTCCAGCCTCTACTCATGTGCCATGGCATATCCCCACTCCTGCCCCCCAAGTAAATAAACAAATGTAATTTTTAAAAGAGAAAAGAAAAACATTACTATAAGCATTTTATCTAGAAACAGGTTCACATCAGACAAAACAGGTAAGAACTGAAAGAAACTGCTACACTTCCATATAGTAGAACTTAAAATAGAGAATAACTATATATTTTTCAAAAACCATTTGACATTAGTTTTGTTTTTTAACTCATGTACAAGAGCAGGATGTGGTGGTGTGTGCTAAAAGCCCAGCACTTGGGAGGTAGAGATGGGAGGACCAGGAGTTTCATGTTAGCTTAGGGTACATGAGACCTTGCCTCAAAATGCCAAAAACTAAAAATAAAAAATAAAAATGAATTATGTACAGGTATTCTTTAAATGCTATTTACTTGTTTATTTTATACATGTGAATGCTTTTCCTACATGTATGTATATATACCACATGCCTGGTGCCCATGAAGATTAGAAAAGGAACTGAAGTTGTGGTGCTTGTTAGCTACTAAGTGGGTGCTGAGAATCAAATCAACTAGAGCTCTGAACCACTTAGCCATCTCTCTAACCCTTTAACATGTGTTCTTTTCATTTTAAAGGTCAAAGGGGGCTGTTAAAGACTAGGCTTACAACTAAAAATGTAAAGTCAGAGGGAGGGAGGGAATGAGGGAGACAGGGAGGGAAGGAGGAAGGCGGGCCAATCACCCATGCCAGAGTCTAAGGCACAGACATGGTCTCTTTTACACACAACCTCATAGTCCTGCACCGGTGACAACATTTGTGTTTTGCTCTGCAGTACCCACCCAGTCCTTCACTGGGCAACCTTGTAAACCTGCCAGTCCTGGAACCCTGCTCTACCCTAGGTAAGGAGAAGGCCAGGGGACAATGGTACCCCTCCCTGGACTATCAGAAGAATGCCAAAAGAATCTAAATCAGCTGGAATCACCCAGGAGTAGAAAGCATCCATGCTGCTTCCCAGGATTCCCTTCATTTGAACTTTTTAAGCTTTCCTTTACCTTCTGAGCACTGTTCTTTCCTTCTAGTAAGTTCCTCTTAAGGTAGCTAGGTCACTTTGTGCTGTTTACTATAAACAAAGGAAGGTAATAGAAATGTCTAATAAGAATGAGTTTGATATTCATTTGTACTTTCTATGCCAATATAATTTACCAAAGTCACTTTCAAACAAGCATTTTTGACATTAAAATACATTTACAACCAGACACGGTAGTCTGCACCTTTAATCCCTACAAACTCACACATAGCTGACACAATATTTTGTCCAAAAGATCTTGCCAACACTCCAGGGATGTTAGCTCTTTTTTTTTTTTTTTTTAAATACTGCTTCTCGTCCATTGTTTGTTTGTTTGTTTTGAGACAAGGTCTTGCAAGGTATGTAGTTATGGCTGACCTAGAATTTGATATTTAGCAGGCTGGCCTCAAATTCCCAGAGATCCATCTTCTTCTGTCTTCCAAGTTCTAGGATCTAAGGTGTATCCACTATGCCAATCCTTCCCATTATGTTTTTGTTTGTTTGCTTAGTGATAAGAATAGAGACCGTTTATTAAGGGAAGAGAAAAGCACTCCCAAAAACAGTGGTGGGAAAGGAATGCCCCACTGTGTTGATTTCAGACCCAATAGTGGCTATGGTCTGAAGTTTTGAAAGAGTTTGCCTTTACCAATGTCCAACAATATAAGCAGTACAGTGTATTAGCTGTACTTCCACATCAAAGTACAAGGCACTAAAAGACACATGGTCCCAGGATTCTGGCTCCAACCGTCTACACTCCCAAATTCTGGGGGCTGGGGGTTCAATCCTCAGTACTTACAGTACCTTCCTGATGGGGGTGTGGGTTTTGTTGGGGACATTGCTCAATGAGCTGAATGCTTGCCTGGCATGTCCAAAGTCCTGGGTTCAAACCCCAGCACCACATAAATCAGACATCCGTTGATTCGTTTATTTACTGGGACCTTTTGCAACCTAGCTGAGCACCGTTCAGTGGTATGAGTGTATGACTACATGACAGGTTCCCAGGGACTGTCCAGAGCCATAAATTCTATCTGCAGACTGGCTCAGAGGAGAGGAATCCAGGACAAACCCTGTCTCCTGACTGATTGATTGTTTACCATCTGACCTTCCTCCTCAAGAATTCAGGAATGTCTCCAAGAGGAAACCCAGGCAAGGGTTATTTCATTCCCAGCTTAAAAGCAAAGTAAGCCTCAAGTCTAGCCTGCCTCCCCTCTAATACAAAGCTCTCTAGTTAATTCTAAACCTACTTATGCCCAAAAGCAAATTCCTTGCTATTTTCCTTCTCTGTTTTCTATCCCATCAAACAAGCAACAAAGAAATCAAGGGACAGCAGCAACTCCTTCTTTGTGTTGCTATGGTCTTAAACATCTTTCTCCTATATGATATGGGTCTTTTTTCTACACCAAATGAAAACAAGCCCACAACCAACCCCTCACTCTTACTCATTCCACATTCTTTCCCTGTACTAATCATTCCAAAACAGCAAGAGCATGGAGGACTTGAGGCTGATTGGTTGTTGGTTTTGTTTTGTTTTGCATTTGGTCAGCATCTCTTTCTTACCTGGTGGGAAAGGCTGAGGTTTGGGAAGTGTCAAGACTTGTAATGTGGCAGAAACATTCATACTTCTAGACAAAATTGTCAAGGGGGCAGTGAATAGGCGTCAATGATCAGCTGTACTCAACTTCAAATGAGCACCTATTCTACAACTATTCTTTGAAGAAGAGCCATAATCCAGCTGTGGCCCGGTTAGCTTTGCCTCAGGGACATGCTGAGACAGGCAGAAGCCAAGCAATCAGATGGGGGGGCCACAACCCCCCCCATCACCTTGGCTCTCATTTCAACTCTCCCACAATAGCTTGGAAATCAATTAATTAGCACAGATCTACGGTGTATTTGGATCCCCCAGCAACGCCTAGAAACATTCAGCATCAAATTACTGGCTTTTTCCACCGGAGAAAGAAAAGTCATGCGGTCAGCTGAGGGTGCTGGAGTGGGGAGGGCATGGGGGGAAACAGGGAAAACTGGCTTGCTCTGGAGAATGTGTTCTCTCTCTCCCTAACCCTCTCCAGGAGGGTTCTCGTCCTGCCTGGGTTCCAAGACATCACCTTCATCCCCTCTCGGGACTTGGCAACGGGACACGGAAGCAAAGCCCAGGAAGCCAGATGGAAAAAAAAAAAAAAAAGAAAAAAAAAAAAAGGAGAAATCCGAAAGAGGGTACCGTCGAGTGGAAAGGTCTATTCATTCTCTTAGTGAAAGGTAAAATCTCTGGCCAATTCCCAGCCCTAGGATTCCACCCTCTGCCCCTTTTCTAGTTAAAGGATCACCCGAAGTACCATAAAAGTCTTTGAAGGGCTTCTGAGGCCATCGGGACACGCGGAAAAGCCTAACCGGCCTGGACCGGCACAATGTCCGAAACGGCGCGGGTATCTGGTCCCTTGAGCGTCTCCCACGACCCTATCCAGCTGCCCACGAGACGCCTGAGTAACGCGCCATGTCCCCGGGCTGGGGCCGCAGTGTCCCGGTCAAGGGCAGGTACTCCTCAGCCCGGGAGCCGCCAGGGCTCCGACCCGTGCCTCCCATGCCACCATCTGCCACACGGCAAAGTAAGAAAGCGCACCGGGTGACCGGGACTGACCGCACCAAGTCGGGCGTCAGGTGATGTCGGCTAGGTCAGCACGAACTCGGGAGCGGCGCGACTGGAAGGCCACCGTGCCCAGGCGGGAAGGCGGGGTGAGCGTGAGGACCTACCGCGGTCTGGCTCTCCGGGTGCACGTCCACCAAGGTACACCAGTTCCGCGTCCCGTTCATCTTTCCACGGAGGTCGCACAAGCGTCCTCAACTCTGAGGTCCGGCGACAACTGGGCGGGCGCGCGCCGAACCGCCCACTTGTATAGGCGCGTCGGGGCGGGGCTTAAGGCGGGCCACGCCCAACGCGGTATTTGTCAATGAGTTGAACGGAAGAGAGAGATGGGCGGTTCCAAGAGGCTTCAGAACTTGCCTACTAGCGTTAACCTCGTATTTACATAAAAGTGGGGCTCGGGAGTGAAGGTTGGGTGGTCGCTCAATAAAAGCTTTACTTCCGGTAATATCTGTGATGGTATCTCAGTCTTGTCTCTTTTCAGTACTCCAGGATAAGTAAATAGTGAGTTGGGGCCGGCACATGCTTCTATGGTCTCTCCTCTCCCTAAATGTAATCCAGCCTGTAGGGTTTTTAGAACTGAGTAAATCTTTCCTCTGTGTTAAAAAGGCAGGCACCAAGGGCCAGCTCACTAGGACTAGTCTAAGCCAGTCTGGCAGGTGCTTATCCCTGGCAAGCCGCCCAGGCCAAAGTCAAAAGCCAAAGCCAGCTGAGCTCTGGGTGGGGCTTGTTTTGCAGAAGCTGCCCTTATATGGTGGGGAGAGGCGGGACACATTGCCTTAAAAGGTGAATCTCAACTGCACCAATGGCATTTGCTTCTCCTAAGGCTAGGCTGGAATCTTGAGGGCTGAACTCTGGTAGATGGCTATCCCACTGGCTGATCTACAGGGAGGACAGGCAGTGTGTAAGGGCTGACCGTCAGCTTAACTAGGCGGTACTACTACAGATAGAATTCGTTTTGGTGAACAGCTAGCTCCTTCAAGTGAGGGGGAGTGAGCTGGTCTCTGAGTCACTTGCCAGTTAGAATTGGATGTTTGCTCTACACCCGGAAGGTAAAAGCTGGCGATACCAGTGACCTAGGAGAGGAGAAAAATCCAGTTCTGGTCTCTTCTCTGTCCCTCAAAGAAGGCACTTGTGGTGGTTTGGCGAGAAAAGTCCCCGATCCAGAGGCACTATTTGAGAGATTGAGTAAATGTAGTCTTGCTGGTGGAATTCTGTCACTGGGGCAGGCTTTTCAAGTTCAAAGACTCCCCAGTTTTTTTTTTTTTTTTTTTTTCTCTGCTTTCCTGCTTGTGGTTTGGGACATGAGCTATCAATCCTCTGCCTGCCTGCCACTGTGACTCCTCATCATTATGGTGAGACTCTTAGCCTTCTGGAACTGTAAGCCCAAATAAACACTAGGTTGCCTTTGTCATGGTGTTTTATCACAGCAGCAGAAGAATAACTAATGCAGCATTCCTTACTATTCCCAGAAATTGTCAGGAAAGAATGGTTCTATTAGTCCTTGTTTCCTAGATCCCTGATCAGTTATGAGAGACCTCTAAAAATGAGGTAAAGCCTCATTTTAATGTACAGTTTAAATGACTTCTTGAAATAAGGCCTGCTTAACAGGTAAAGGTGCCTGCTGCCAAGCCTGAGTTCAATCCCCAGGACCCACACTGTGGAAAGTAAGGACTCTCAGAAGTTGCTCTCCGACCTATGGAGGTCAGAGAACATACATAAACACACACATATGCATGCACATACATTCACATGCACATACACACACACACACACACACACAGAGATGTTTTAAAAAATATAAAACAAAACTTAGGGCTGGAGAGATGGCTCAGGGGTTAAGAGCACTAGCTACTCTTCTAGAGGACCTGTGTTCAATTCCCAGCACCCACATGGCAACTCACAACTGTAAGTCAAGTTCCAGGGGGTCAGATACCTTCACACCAATGCACAAAAAATAAGGTTAAATAAATTATTTTTAAAAAAACAAACTTTAGAGTAGACCTTCAAATTATCCAGGAAAATGAAGACAGGAATTTCAATATAGACATTTTAATATTTAATTTAAAATAAACCAAGGCTGGATTGGATTAGGAGAAAATATCTGATTTATAGAATATCTTTTTTTTTCAATTCATGAAATTACATGTGATTGATGAGAACAGAACTTACTTTGGAAATAAGAGGTGAACCATCCCCATTACCTTCACCCCCCCCCCCAAGAGCTTGGCACACTCCAAATTAACTCAAAGGAGGAATAAATTCTCCATTACCCCTTCCCATCATACTGACAGTCAGCATCTAAACCCAGGCAAAGCTCTGAATCAGGGCCCACTTCCTGAGAAAAGCAGGGATCTGTTGTTTCCCATCGAGGCTGGGCACATCTGGTCAGAGAAACCACAAGGAGGCCACAGGGATCAGATGTTTGCTTTCAGAGCCTGTATAAACAGTCCTCATGGTTCCCAGGTACAACCACTTTATGGCAGCATCCAGTCACAGAGGGCAAAAAAGAAAGATGGAAGCCCTGAGCCGAAGGAACCAGTCCCCACCACCTTACCAAGACCCATGGAAGCCCGTCTCCCGGGGGCTGGTTGGCAGAGCAGCCTGTCTCTCTCCTGCCCAGTCACTAGGGAAGGAGGACAGGTGAGGGCCCCCATGAGGAAAGGCTGGTCTTTGGAGAGGTATGAATGTGCGGATTTATGAAAGGCAAGAGCAGCATCCTCATCTCAATCTGCTAAGGCACTGAGAGTAGAGCAGCAAGGCAGGGACGGTAAAGATGGGAAGGAGACAAGAGGTCTCCTGGACACAGTGACTTGCAGAAAACAAAAATATTGCAACTGAAGAGATGCTAGGGACTACTCATGGGCCCATGACTGTGCAAAAAGAAGTATCTGAAAAGTGGGTAGAGCCACGCCTGCATGCCCATTACCCATACTGTTCCCTCCCCTGCTTCAAAATGGGAGGAAAAAAGGTTGCAGGGATCCAGGGAGCAGAACATTGGGCATTTCCCTGAGCCATATGGTTAAATATTAAAGAAATAAAGCTTTACATACATGGCAACACCCATTCTTCCCTGTCCTTTGCAGCCCCCTTCCGTGTACACATGTTGACCATTAGTCCCACACTAAGGGAGATGAGGGAGAGGTGAGCACCTATAGGAAGGGCTCAGAGGGCCTACCCATTCTTCCAGTGACAAGGACAAGCCCACCCACCAGCTCATTGCTACCGTGTTTATCACCATCACTCTGACCCTTCCCAGTCCAAAGTCTGAATCAGGTCACCCATAGGAAAAGAAGACTCTGAGGCAGGCAGGACAGAGCAAAGCAGAGCAGGGCTGGCCGAGATGGGCTTCCCCATCTGTGGTCCATAGCAGAGCATGCACTAACAGGAACTGGTCTGCAGGTTGCTCTCTGTGAGCAGTGATGCAATGGATGAGGGGTCGTAGACACTGTCAAATTCCTCATCGGAGCTCAGCCCCTCTTGTTTGAGGGCCACCTCGGCAGCTGAGCGGGAAGCTTTTCGCCTGAGTCGGAGAGAGAAGGAGCAGACTGAGACCATCACCCTTCCACACAAAGACCTAAAGCTGCTCACATGGCTCACAGGGCCCACCCCCACCCCCACCTCGGGCTCAGTACAGAGCAAGGTACAGAAAGGTGGCCATACCAGGCATCCTTTTCCAAGGATTTGATCCGGGCCTGGAGCTGTTCATTGACCTCATGCTGTTCCTCCAGTTCCCTCTGTGCCTTCTTCCTCAGGCTGTCCAGACGCTCAATTTCCTCTTCAGCTTCATCCACCTGCCGCTTCAAAGTCTTCACCCTCAGGCTTAGCTAAGCAGGATAGCATACCCCCACGTTAGAAAAGTATTTACTCCTAAGGACTAGGGCCTCCTCTGCAATGATTCTGACAAGGGACAATTACCCCCATCCCCTCCCCAAAATGTTGTGACCTTGTGTAAGTCCTCCAGCCTCAGGGAATTGTTGAGAGGAGGTTAGGGAGCAGAGGAGATAGCTCAATAAATAAAGTGCTTGCCATACAGTCTCCTCACACTAGCTAACCTAACCTACTCAGCAAGTTCCAGGCCAATGAGAGACCTTGCCTCAAAATAAATAAATTAACAGATGCTGGATAGTGTCCAATGAGTAACACCCAAGGTTTTCCTCTGGCCTCTACACACACACATGCAAATATGTGCACAAGAATACACAAGCAAAACACATGGGGATTCAATGAGTTCATGTACATATAACACACAGAGAAACTAGCACACTCAATACAGATGCATGACTATTCTAGGCTCGACCTCTCAAGCTAATCTCATCCTTACACAAGCAAATTCTAAGTGTGGAAGACACTGACCTCCTCTGGCCTTGGAGAGAACAGCCCCATGGAGTGCCCATAGAGTGCCATGTCCTCACCTGGTCCTTCTGGTCGTTGACGTGCTGCCGCTCATCATCGATCTGGATAGAGAGCTCTTTAACTCTCCGTTCTAGTTTCCGATTGGTGGATTGCAGAACTGTCTTCTCTCTACGAGAGAGCAGGAAAGGAGGTCTGTGGCTGTTGCCATTTCTTTACTAAAGCTGTTGCTTTACTTAGCACTGTACCACCTCCAAGGACTTTTCTGTCATGAGCTTCACTAGTGGATGGGGAAGATCCAGAATTTCCACAACTCTGTTCTATCCAGGAGCAAGGGGAACTCCCTGAGGATGAGGCCAGATTGGCCACACGTGAGGTGGAAGATGAAGGGAGACCCAGAGAAGAAAAACCCAGAGAAAGAAAGGGAGGGAAAGAGGGATGAATGACAGGTGCATATCACCTCTCGTCAGCTTGCAGCCGCTCTTGTAACTGTTGATTCTGGGCCTCAAGCTGAGAGAAGCTGGCACTGGGTTTCTGGAAGCCTTCTGAGCTAGCCAACCGGGTCTTCAAGTCCTTGTTCTGAGAAAGATGGGAAGATCCCCTAGTTAGCACTCTAGGTGATCCTCTGTCTGGCCCCAGAATCTATCCCCAAAACTCCTTCTCACCTGTCTCTCCAAGGAGATTTTGTCACACTCCAAGTCTTGCCGAGCAGACCTCTCTTGCATAAGTTCTGTCCTCAGCTGATCCACCTATTAGGGATAGAAGAGAAGAATTAGACTTGGGGAAGACTAAAGAATGCTAAACCAGCAAAGTGAATTAACAGAAGCAGATCCCTGGAAGATAGACACTCTCTGAACCCTGAGACACCTCCCCCCCAAATTCTCAGGCAACTAAGCACTCTCAC